AATTTTTAATGTTTCATTTACAGAACATTTTGAGTGCATGTCCAGTGTGTTGTTTGCAGATTAATTATTACTGTTTCTTTGTACTATGGTTCGCTGTTATTGCCACACTGTTCGGTTTCATGTTACAACAGTGGAAATCCCGTGCGCCGGCGCAGCAGTAAAGTGTCAATTAGAAGTCTCAGTGTTGGCGAAGCGGGGCGCACGACGTTAACGATTTCAAAGGAACAATTTTGAATTACGGCTTTGCTGCTCTAGAGCACGAAAACGCTCGCTGCTGGTTGCGGGAGGATAGGAAAGCTATATCGCTTTAATATCTGGTAGGTAGTCAAATAAGTTCGTGCGGTTTTTAGTAGAAAAATATAAATTTTTATTTATTCGTCGAAGTATACTAAGTGACATATAAATCCGAACACCCAGTTTAAATTTTTTTCTGGTTTAAACGGAAATCTGGGCGATTGATCGTTTGTTTTTAAATTGAAGAATGTTAACCATGCCGCGAAAAAGAAAAAAAATGCCGCGAGAGAAACGTTCTGGTCCGCTTATGAAACAATAGCGTATTAGCATAGAAATATTTATATAAAAAATTATCTTGATCGATTATCATGCAACATCATGGGGGTTGACAATGATATCTTTGTAGCCGATATAACCCATATTTTATGGCCGTATCGTCAGTCGTTCCTCGACGCCTTTATGGCCTCCTTGATTTTCATAGTATTTTACTGTTCCGTATCAGCATTCTATTTTGAGGTTATGTTACAAATATCTACTTGCATCAAATTGTGTATGCTTTTGGTTTATATCATCTGGTATATCAGCCTGAAATTTGAGCACTAGAATCTAGAAATTCCCCAGCCATTCTAAAGGAGAGAAAATACTATGAAAATCAATGAGGCTATAAAAGCGTCCTACAATATTGTAGGAACGACTGACGATACGGCCCTAGAGTCTGTGAGGTATTATAAGCAAGCTAAAGAGATTCATTTGTCTCACTGACCAAGGAAAAAATAGCCTCTAGGTTTTTATACCTCTACAGCCGCGTAAGCAGAAACCTGATACCAGGGCAAACGCGACTGCTATCAGGTGCTTGATGACACCTTGTTAATTCGATTTTTGAACTACCTAAGGTTAGTAGAACTTACGGAAATTTTGTCTGCGTTAATATAGCTACTAAATAACACCTGGATGAATTATATTTCTCGCAATGTAGACAGAATCAGTTATGAATTGGTTCAGACTTAACGGTTTTTATTCTATTTAAAGGAACCTTCAAAGAGTGTCAGATGTCTTTACTAGTAAATGATTTCCAAAAATAACTGTACTTCTTACTGTTATGCTTTCTGTTATAGTTTCTCATTTGCATGAAAAAGTCAAATATGTACTCGTTATTCTAATGAATATGTATTTGCTTAAGGTGTTAGTTCGATTTAACAAGCTGTTAGAAAGGACCCCGACACAAAAAAGCTTAATCCTAATACTAAAAAAAATGGTATAATAAAGATTAGTGGTAGAATATTTTTACTTCATGTGGCAAAGTTATATAAACGATTTGTAAGTAATGGTCGGTGAGCGGACCTTTCCAAAGTCTAACAAGGCTAACAACCTGGGTCTTTAGTTTTTCTGTTGAACATAAAAAGCGGATCAAGCAGATTGAATCGTACGCATTAATATAGATTGATGTTATAACGTCCCAAAAATATTAATCAGCAATGAGTTTTCAAATATTTGAGAGGTGCCAAAATTGTGTCAGCTAAGGAGACCTTCAACCATGAGGTCTTCAAATTAAAATAAATTGTTTTGAGTATCTACTCCTTAAAAGCAGTCTTATTACTATACGTATATACTCGTACTTATTGCAATGGATTAACAAAACTGATTAGGAAAAGCAACCGATATCTCTATGAGCTGAATCACAAATACAGAGTATCTGGAAATTAAAGGATAACCCTGTGTCTGGAAGTAGGTCACATCATGACCTACTTTTTGGCAGAAAGTCTTATATACAGAAATAATTTTTTTTTCTTGTAAAAATTGACAGTCGACCAGCACAGGGTGAAAACAGTCATTCCACGATGCTCACTAGGATCGCTGTGAGCGTCCATCTATGGAGGAATGGCTCAACTACACCACTACACGCATTGTTGGTTGCATACGTTTTGTGAAGCCGAGTAGTCTGTTTTCATCTCTGAGAAGAACGTTGGTTGAATAGCAAGATCGCATCTCAATGATTGTGTGTAACGGTCTGCATGTGTATAAAATTACTGATATTTGCTGTGAGAGAAAATCATTGCTGAATATGCTGCCAATGAAGTATGTCTATTAGCTGTGCCCGACGGGTTATTTATTATTATTTTAATAAAATGTTGTATAAGTACTTAATGAAGCATAATAAGTAAATGATAAAAATTTCAAAATGATTGCACTGCTTTAAAGCCCTTTGACCTTTAATAATGTGTGGATGCACCCTGATGGCCTACGCATTCTCCAACGCGCCTAGGCATGCTTCTGATCTTTTGGTCAATGTCCTCCTATGGTATCTCATTCCAGGCAACCACCAACTCCTCTCGAAGTGCTTCTAGAGTCTGAGGGGGTTATCTACCAACTTTTATTAAAATAAAACCATTTAAACTGGGTGTTCGGATTTATATGTCACTTAGTATATTTATCTTACTGTAAACAACAAGTGAACAAATTTTCAGCTTTATCAGTTGGACATTCCGGTTTTTATACTGCTTTTTTTTAATTCACTAACGCTCTAAAAATGAATATTTCAGCCGCAGTAAAGAATCAACGTTGGCGAATTTTGGTTCTTGACATCCTTTACCATCGGTGACGATACGTAGAGTACGGAGACCTGTACGATTTCGTCAACTTAGTGAGTCTGATAGGGGCCGTATAGTGGGACTTTGGGAAGCTGGACTTCCTTTTTAGGGAATTGCAGTTAGAGTGCAAAGAAGTGTAGACCCTGTGGTTAGGTGTTGTCACGCATGGCTTCGAGAAGGCCGTACGCAAAGAGCAAGGGGCACTGGACGCCGCCGTAGAACAACAGACCGTGAAGATCGCCGCCTAAGATTATTGGCCTTAAGGGACCGTTTCTCCACTACCAGGTCCATTGCAAATGAATGGTTTGCAGAACATGGAAGACCAATTGGCATGCGAAGTGTTTACCGACGAATGAGAAGTTTTGGCTTGTTTTCATACCGGCCACACTGGGTCCTCCCTTTAACTCGACAACACCGACGTAATCGCCTTGAGTGGTGCAGACAGCGGTCACTCTGGGATCAGGAATGGAACAGTATTGTAGGTATGCACGATGGTCGTGCCAGGGTTAGAAGGCGACGTGGTGAAAGGAGGAATCCACAGTTTTTTGTTGAAAGACATGTTCATCACACTGTTGGAGTTATGGTTTGGGGTGCTATAGCTTATGGTTCCAGGTCACCTTTAATCTTCATCAGAGGTAACATGAACGCGCAGCGTTATATCCACGAAGTTCTAGAACCCCATCTTTTACCCCATCTTGACACCCTGGCAGATCCAACTTTTCAACAAGATAATGCCCGACCACATGTTGCAAGAGTCACAATAGACTTCTTTCAACATAATGATGTCACATTGTTACCATGGCCACCAAGATTGCCCGACTTATCCCCAATTGAGCACGTGTGGGATATGATGGGTAGGAGATTGCTCAATTTGCAACGTCCTCCTCAGACTCTAGAAGCACTTCGAGAGGAGTTGGTGGTTGCCTGGAATGAGATACCACAGGAGGACATTGACCACCTGATCAGAAGCATGCCTAGGCGCGTTGGAGAATGCGTAGCACATCAGGGTGCATCCACACATTATTAAAGGTCAAAGGGCTTTAAAGCAGTGCAATCATTTTGAAATTTTTATCATTTACATATTATGCTTCATTAAGTACTCATACAAAATTTTATTAAAATAAAACCATTTAAACTGGGTGTTCGGATTTATATGTCACTTAGTATAATTACCATCACTTTCAATGACCTTTTGCCGTCATGGAACCAATTTTTGTATGCCGGTATTGTAGAAACTCCCTGGATTTGGAGTAAAAAAATTGGCGGACTGCATTTATCACACCATCTCGAGTAGTGAACTGTCGGTGACTCATACAGTTGTCAAGAGACAAAAAATAGGTGATAATCACTTGGCAAAATGTCGGGAGAATATGGCTGGTGCGGTAACGTTTTCTGCTGCCCACCAAACACACAACAAAACTCAGTAGGTGACAACCAATGATACTAACGCTTAGAATGTTAATAACCGATTAAGAAATGGTTCATTAGCGTTGCGAGAAATGTTTGCTGCACAAATGGTAAGACGACTTAATTTGTTGTCATTTCTCAGTTCATGTGGGACCCGATTGCTTAACTTCCAGGTCTTTCTTAGCTGATGAAGATGCAAACTAATAGTTTCAGGACTCACTCTGAACATTTCTGCAGGTTCTTGTCCTGGAATTTGCGTCCACAACCTGTCGAAGACCCTTTCGATCAACAACATCCACGGCAATGTGCGATATACAGCAACCGCACGAACTTATTTGGTTACCTGAAATAATTACATGATCAAACGAACTTAACTGTAAGTGATGTTCGATCTCAATTATGTGAAGGCCTCGACGGAGTAAACCGCTTTATGAATAAGTAGACATTACCGTGGAAACGACTTGCGTACTCTGGATTAAGCTACTTGCTGGTGAACCTTAACCTTATGGCTGATCGTCCATTGGAAGCGTAGTCGCGCGACTCGAAGGTAGCGCATATATGCCCGTATACAAGCGACTGATCCTAACAAATGACAAATTATGTAAACAACATCCCCTGTAAGCGACCTTGAGCGACCGACCTCGGCCGACCACAAGCGACTGGCGACCGATCCCTCCAAAATGGGATTAGTCGCTTGTGATCGCATGTGCAAACGAAGACCATAGGGTTATCTCTGACGAAGACGCCATAAAATCATTCATTGCATTTGGGTTCGTGTGTTCTGTGCAGGTAATATTTAGTTTTCGATATGGAAATTGATAACGAAAAATTGATTAGTGCCGTTCGTGAAAAGCCTCCGTTGTGGAACATGAAAGACAAAAGGTATCATTCTCGTGATGTTCAGAGGAAATTGTGGTCGAAAGTTGCAGACGAAGTAGGTGTTACTAATAATGGTAAGTATTGTTTTCAATATCATTATTACATTACAAAGTGAACAAAACATAAGAGATATTCAGGCAAAAACAGACCGTCAGTGCAAAGCTTTTACTTCAGACACAAGTTTTTTTAGGTATTTGCTTGATGTTCACAAAAATATGCTGCGAATTTGTCTCTGATCACATAAGCGGTAGTGACGCTCCTATTTTCGCCTAGGGAAGCAAATCTGGCTTTTGTAGTACTGGTTTCTGATTGTTGAGGTATTGACATAGGTTGTGGTTCGCCTTCTTTGTCAATTATAATATTGTGCAACAAACATACACATTTAAAGATATCATCGACAAAGTTTGGTTCAACCTCAATTCCTTTTTGAAGTACTCTCCACTTGGCGGAAATAATACCAAACGCGCATTCAATGACTTGCCGTGCTTGTGAAAGTCGTTTATTGAAAATTGTATGTGAAGGTCCAAGTTGTGATGCGGGAAAAGGTCGCATCAAGTAAGTTTTCAATGGATAGGCTTCATCTCCCAACAGCACGCACGCAACTTTATATTCGATCCAGGCGGTGTGGTAAGCCGTTTATTACACAACTCATTGTTTTCAAGCCTTCTATGAAGGCGGGAATTAGAAAACACACCACCGTCACTTTCCTTGCCGTACCCTCCTGTATCAATGGTAATAAACTTGTAATCTGGTCCCGCCACACCTTGTAGCACAGTTGAAAAGAAATGCTTGTAATTTCTGAACATGCTGCCTGAATGGTCTGGATTTCGTATGCGTATCGGTTTTCCATCGATGCACCCAACACAACTAGGAAATTTCCACTTACGCCAAAAACCTTCTTTTATTGACTCCTGCTGTTCATCTGTAGGAGGAAATGGCATATGTACAGTGCTCAACTGGTCCCAAATAGCAATACACGCTTCTTTAACTATTCTTCCAACGGTTACATCTGACATTCTAAATGAATTTCCCAATGTTTTGAATGAAGCACATGTGGCCAAGTACCTATAACAACAGAAATCATTATGAACATTTATTGAAAAAAAATTGTTTATTTTCCTATTTGCAATATTAACCAAAACTGTGGTTTTGTGTTTTAGTGAACGAAGTAAAGAAAAAGTGGAAGGGACTGCGCGATTTATTTAGAAGAGAATATAAAAAAGTCCATAAATCAGGAAATGAGGCGCCGGAGGAAGGTTCCTCTTCATGGACTTTCTTCGACCAGATGCTGTTTCGCTCATAATTGAGCCACGACAGCTGAAGGGAAATGTTGCCTCGCCAGAAAGAACATTTTCTCGAAATAATGACGGAGACGATATTGCCGATGAAGATGATTTGCCTGATATGGAATCATCACAAGCAGTTGTCACTGACAAAGGAGAACTCAATATGTCATCGAGCGGAACCAGTAAGATGGAACCCCCAGTACCTGCAAGCAATCATCAGACGCGTAGAAAACAGTGTCGTAAAAAAATACACCAGCGACATCGCGGTTGACGATAAATTTCTAGAAATCGAGAGGGCTAAGTTGCAGTTATTTACTGAACATGCTAACAAAGAAGGAGACAGCGACTATCAGTTTTTGGTTAGTCTTCTTCCATATCTAAAAAAAGTTCCAGAACACCGCAAATTGCATGCAAGAAATAAACTTCAGCAAGTTCTTATTGATGAAGGAGAGCAATACCACAGATCCCGCATACCCCATCGACCTACACAACAACACCTGTACCCTCGCCTTGCACCAGCGAAACCGGTGGACCATCATGGACGATTCAAACGTCGAACTCATCTGCAGACCAGATTAATACAGGTTTGCGACAATATTTCGGGAACTTTCAAGATATCCAGTAACTGTGTTATAATAAGAAGGCCAATACCGATCAGGCGCAATAAGAATTACAACACGAATGCATATTGTCCGACTATTGAGTACTTTTTTATTTCCTTTTTATGATAGATGGTTTTGTTACTTTTTTTTGTTCAATTAAACTTAATATAGATTTATAACAATTAAATAAATTTACTTACCTTAAAGTCACTATCCAACACGCATTCAATGCACATCTCCTTTGCAAGCATATGGGTTTCTTGTATGATGCACATCCGTATTGAGTTTTCCTTTTCAACTTTGGTGGACATCTGTAACATGTTGCTCTTTTTTCCAAGCGATCTTCTAGGACTTCACTGCCATGAGCAGAATGGTCAGTGCTCCCACATAAGTTTTCAATTGTCACTCGCAATTTTCTGGGAAGTTTTGAGTTTGCCATTCTAACTCTCCATTGTGGCAAAGCCACACTTCTTGCTATCTTTTTTAGAAAATCTGCCCTTTCCAGTTTTTTAGTATCTTTGTAGCTTGAGTACAAAACATAAGCATTTATTGTACTTACGTCAACAAGCATGAAAAATATTGCCATAGGCCATCTTCGTGTCCTACGACTTGGACTATAGTTTGCATACTTTTTGTCCAAACTATCCACGCCACCTTTTGTCGAATTGTAATATGCTATTATTTCTGGCTTACCAGTTTCTTGATCAGTTGATTCACAATGACGCATAGATGAAATCAGAATAACTGATTTTGAAGATTTTGGTACAAAAGAAAGTAAAGTCATATCATTATTGTATCCGTAGAGGCTGCTGTTGAGTTTTCGATTTTTGTTAGCTTGCAAGCTTGGTGGAATTGCAGCTTGATTCTTTCTTAGCGTAGCTACATAGGTTAGACTCCTGTTTTGGAGTTCTTGAACCAATTCCACAGAGCTAAACCAATTATCAGCTGTAACATTTCTATTGGTTTTTTGAATTGGCCCCACTAGCCTGATTACAGACTGTGTTGGGATTTTCAATTTCCTTTCATTTGCAGATAATGTTAGTGAATCTGATCCTTTTCCAGCGTAAATATAGGCATTATAAAGCTAATTATTTCGGGCATCTGTCAGGCACATTATTTTGATTCCATAACGAGCCGGTCTTTTCGGCATATATATTTTAGATCTACAACGTCCCCTGAATGCTACGAGCATTTTATCCACGGTAGCGTTAGTGCCAATACAGAAGGCATTCTGGGAATTATCTATGAATTTATTGAATATTTTTGATATGTCAGGCACAGGATCGCCCTCAATTTGTCTTTTATTTCGTAGAGATGCATCGTCAAACCTAAGCAGTAAGTAGGAACTCAAAGCGCCTCTTCCTGTGCCATCTGTGGCAAACAAGCACTCGATGCTCTCATTTCCTGATTTGGAAACTGAGGTAAATATAAGCATACCTAAAAAAGCCTTCATTTCTATTTCATCGGTGGTGGATGATATCGGACTTGCCTGGTCTTTATACTTTTTTCTTGCATCAATGATCTTCACATTTTATTTCTGCTATCATATCTTCAGAAAATAAAAGAAGCCAGATGTCTTCAATCCAAGCTGTTTAGCTTTTGGTCGTAGTCCAGGTAGAGTGAGTACAATGTTATGTTTTCTAGTCTTTACATTGACTGGAGGCTGGCCTTTTGCCTGAAAACAAAACAACGATAAAGCACACACCTCAGTATTATCTTCACAAGTGTTTTAGTAGTTACAGATTCTGAACTTTCTTACCATTTCAACTTATTTTTACCAATATAAAACCTCTCTTCTTCAACAGAAAAATCTTCCATCTGGTTTCTTTTCTCCAACCAATTTTCCGTTTCATTTTCGTCTGGTATGTAGTCTGCATCGGAATCTGCTTTATGTATCTCCTCTGTTATGTCAGAATCTTCCAGTTCATTATCACTTTCAGTGAATCTAATATCTTCATCATCTTCTCGCCAAGTCTTCAAATCCTGGATCATTAGGATGCATACGATCAGGGAAACTGCGCATGATGTTAATTTTTATCTCCGGTACACGTTCGTTAAGGTGAGGTCGCTGAGACCGCTACGGTATGGTTTTGGCAATAACAGAACACTGCCGCACAAGCTTATATTGCCAACTGACTAAAACGCTTCGTCATGCTTTCTCCAAAAGGTATCTAGCTTCCTAGTATGCAGATGTGCTGCGTTGCCAAATTGTAACACATAATATATCAATGGGGTATCGTAGACCGCACGTTAGCGGCTAAAGGTTAAACGAATGTGACAAAACTGTATATTGTAATTAATCAAAGTATACCTTCCAGAGTCAGCAGATGCTGCACATAATAGCACGGTTTCGAAATATATTTCAGTACAAAACTGACGCAACAATAAATGTAATTGTCTAGGAAATAAACAACAGAATATTTCTAGGCTTCGGAATATAACAGAGAATAGTGCTTAAAAAACATAGTAACACAAAATGCTACACTTTTCTTCAACAGCTGCTTCGAAAAACATACGCGTGCTAATCTCAAATGTAACGGTTTCCCACTCAAAGCTAGAACATTCCCATATGGCGACTGGATTACTACTGAATTGTGTCGGTTTAGACCTATAAGGGGTACTTGGAATACGTCAACTCAAAAACAACACAAGTCCACCTGTTGGTAGTTTGGAAAAGTAGAGATATGTTATTTTTCCACATAGCAAAGTAGATAATTCTGGATCGCTTGGTATAATAATCTGGATTTTCATCTTTTTCGAGGTGTGGCGGTTTTCTTGCGAATAAACGATATACTTTCTTTCGCGATGGACCTAAAGTGCTCAATTTTGATCGGAGGTCAAGCAGCTCTTTTTGTAATGGATTAAAAAGATGAGAGTTTGTAGGCCAGGGGTTGGAGTGGAGGAAGAAGGGAGGGCGCGGTGATCCGCTTTTTTTTTTCGCTGCGCGTGCGCTTTGAACTTGTGGGTTTGGCCGGAAAACGGGGTACTATACCTGTCCCATTTGCGAGACGAGGCCGGAACATAACAGTTAATATAAACACGGGTTCAGTTTTCTTAATACAGTGTAGAAAAAGGTAATACAACATGAAACCGTGACACAAAAGTTAGCAGGGTTCGACTGCTGAATTAATTCTTAGTAGGCTTAGAATCAAGCATAGATAATTAATACTTGGCGGCCGTTTGTTTATTAAAAATAATATTTGTCCACTCTCTCTTAGTTCCCTCGATTGCGATGCCGACACATAGCCTTATGTTGAACGCGAAACAGACAAATAGGAAGAATATTTAATCATTTTTTGCATACTGCTCTAGGTTGGCGACCGATTGTTTATTATTATTATACAGGGTGTTTCAGTTTATTATTGCATAACTCTAAGATTCGATAGAACTTTTAAAATTAATGCAAGTCTATTGGGTCGAAAATTGCGTGGCTGTCGAAATACAAGGTGTTTAAATTTACTTTCTAAAATAGTTTTTTTTTAAATATTTCGAACAATATTAGATGTATAACAGTGAAAATTGGTACACAAGGGTTTTTTGGTACGACAAAACGAACCATAAGCATAGTTTTACTGTAGCCGCTAAAGAGCGCACTCTACTGTACCCGTAGTGTATTAAAATGACCGAAAAATTTTTCTTAGTGCTATTTTTTGCTTCTTGAATAAAAAAACTTATTCCTCGCACTTTTCAACATAAAAAAGCTCCCTTGTGAATTTTCGTTATAGTTAGCCGTTTTTGAGATATTTCGATTTTTAAGGTTCGATGCATTTTTAATTATTTATGATAAAATAACGTTAAAAAGTCAGTATCTCGATAATTTTTAGAAGTAGGCTGTGCCTGCAAATATTTTTGAAATTGAAAGCAGAATAAGGTTAAACGTCAATTAGTTGACAGTTAGTTTTGTTGTCTGTTGAAACCTGAAACGTTTTTTTCCAATTGTGAATGCACGAAATTTAGTTTCTTTTACCTGTTTCTTTTTGTAAGTTTTATAAAAATGCCATTTTTATTCTCCACTCAAGCGTTAGCGGATATTCATTTTGTGTATGGTTTGTAAATGGAAACGCAGCAGAAGCAGGCAGAGAATACGCACGAAGATTTCCAAACAGACGACATCCAACTCGCTCAGTATTTGTAAGAGTGCATCGCCAAATAACTGAAAATGGTTTTGGAAATCGCCAAAGGGATCAAAACATAAATGTTCGTCAGCGCAGATTTACCCGTTTGATTCTGCTTGAGTTTGATAGAGATCCGGCCACAAGTGTTAGGAGAGTTTCTGGTGCCTTGGGAATTTCTGCAAGCCATGTTCACCGTGTTCTTAGAAATGACCATAGACATCCTTACCATTTGCAACCTGTGCAAGGACTACAGCCAGGGGACGGAGAACGAAGAATTACATTTTGTCAGTGGATTCTTGATAGAACTGATAATAATAGGGAGTTTTTAAGTAACGTTTTATGGACCGATGAGTCATGCTTCACTAGACGTGGAGTGGTACATTTTCATAATCAACATATTTGGTCGCATGAAAA